ATTTTATTTATTATTATCATGTTTTAATTTGCTATAGTGAACATGTCTTCACCAGAAAGAGACAAAAGAGCAAGTGAGAAGGCGAAAAAGCAAGCCACAAGTCCAAAACTAGCACTATGGTCAGCCATTTGGGAGTTGAACACCTTAACCCCTGCACCACCTCCTGGCTCCCCTTAAAAAAAATAATAATAGTAATAATAATAATAATATAAAAACACAATTATTTATGTAATTTTATTTATTAGGTTGTCAGGAAAGTCATAGCATATTTTTCTGTGTAAAAATGCATCATGACTTTCCTGACGACCCAATGTTATTACTTTTCTTTTAAATAGCTATAGGGTACCTGCACTCACCAGAAACAGAGATGGAGAGAGAGAGGGGAAAAGTGAGAAAGCAAGCCACCAGGTCCAGGACTCAAACTGTGGTCAGCCATGTTGAAGTTCAGCACCTTAACCACCATACCACCTATTGGCCCCCAGTGTGATTTTTCATGCAACCAGGTGAGGACTCACAGGGCAGTTAGCCATGTGAAATCCAGATGCCTTATTCACCACACCAACTGGCTGGCCCTGTGGTTGCTTTTAAAAACTTTATCAACATAAAAATATTAGGTTATTGGAAAAATCATTATGTATTTTTGCATTGAAGAACATAGAAAAAAATATGTCATGACTTTTCCAACAACCCTGTATCATAATACCCTGGTTTGATTAACATCTTTTTATATTTCAAATACCTGACTTTTTATTACTATGCAGCAAAAGAACATAAAAGAGCACCAATGTTTATCTACAAACCACAGAGCAAAAAAGTTTTTGAAGGAGACTCAGTGAAACTAGAATGCCAGATAACAGCAATACCTCCACCAAAGCTTTTCTGGAAAAGAAATAATGAAATGGTACAGTTCAACACTGACCGAATAAGGTAAAATAAGTATTAAGTATTTCTAGACTTACCTTTAGTTTATTTGGATGAATCCAATTATACTTTAAATATATATGGCATGCAATTATGATCCCAATTTGTCTAGTTTTAAAAACATGAATATAAATACAATAAAATTTAATTAAGTCAAATTCCACTAATCAGAAAGTCAGGGCATAAAGTAGTCTAGGATTTACCTTTTTACTAAAATGAAGTAAGACAGTTCACAGAGGGACTAGACAGTGGCATGGCAATAAAATGTGATACTATTTGAGCCTGACCCACATGAGAAGATTCCAGGGTAAACACTTCTGTAAGTATAATGGGCACACACATGCCAGTAATGTGGGGAAGATTGAGGTTAGACGTAGATCACAGCATTGAGACTCTGCTAGGAGTAGTGTCTTGCTATCTCTGTCTCTCACTCATGGAAGAATTTTTAAAAAGTCTCATTTTTTTAAAGATGGCTTAAGGAAATTAAATACAGCTTCAAATTTTTCATAAACTTTTTTTTCTTATCATTCTGACTCTGTAGGTCAGAGTCATCACTTAAATAAACTTTTCAGGGATTTTGATTTGTGAGCAATCCCTTTCAGAGACTAAGACAACTAAAGAATATCTACTCAGACTTCACCCTCTACACTCCAAGTTCTATCAAACTGATAGGAGAGGTAATGCACAGGCCCTTTGAAAAGTCATCTGCATTTGAGCTGTAAGCAATTCCTTTCAGGGATTAAGACAATAGAAGAGTTTTCTGCTCAGACTTCACACTCAAGACTTTAAGATCCACCAGACTGGGAGAAAAATGGAACTGCAGAGAGATTATAGATCACTTCCTCCTACACACCTCTGAACACTCAGACTTAATTTCAAGCAATAAGGAAGAAACGTATAATTCATCAGATGACCAGAAACCACCGTAGAGGCACAAGAAATATGAAAAACAATAAAATATCCCTCCCCCAAGAGAAAAGAACAACTACTCATGCACAGACAGTACAGTAGAACTCGTGGAAATGTCAGAAGAAGATTTTAGAATATTTGTAGAGACAAAGCTAACAGAGATACAAGAGAAGAGAGATCCTGAACTCCAGAAGATGCAGAAGAAAAGAGTCAATGAGTTGCAGGAGGTGTGGAAGTTCTAACATGAGTTGAAAGAGGGAAATACACACCCTAAAAAAAGAATCAAACAGAATGTTAGAGGTGAAGGCTATAATAGAGGAAACCAAAATCTCCTTTCAAAGTATTAAAAGCAAATTAGATCATGCAGAAGATCAAATTCAGATGCAGAAGACAGAACCTCTGTCCTAGAAAAATTCACAAAAAAGACTGAGAAAATAACCCAATGAAATTAAAATAATATATGAGAAATATTAGATACCATTAATCATCCAAACATGTGGATAATTGGCATCCCAGAAGGTGAAGAAACAAATAAAGGCATTGCAAATCTATGCCTCATTTTCAAATCCTCAAGTCTGGGACTCAACCTGTGGTTGGCCATATAGGAATCCAACACCTTTAAGTTGTTCTTTTCTCTTGGAGGAGGGATATTTTTATTGGTTTTTCATATTTCTTGTGCTTCTGCAGTGGTTTCTGGTCATCTGATGAATTATACATTTCTTCCTTATTGTTTGAAGTTAAGTCTGAGCATTCAGAGGTGTGTAGGAAGAGGTGATCTATAATCTCTCTGCAGTTCCATTTTTCTCCCAGTCTGGTGGATCTTAAGGTCTTGAGCATGAAGTCTGAACAGAAACTCTTCTGTTGTCTTAGTCCCTGAAAGGGATTGCTTACAGCTCAAATGAAATCTTGGGGGAAAAAAAAAAAAAAAAAAAACTTTCCAAACCTAGAGCAGGATTCAAACATCCAGACCCAAGAAATACAAAATACTACACACAAATCAACCCAAGAAGATCTTCTCCAAGGCACATCATAGTCAGATTGACCAAAATCACAGACAAAGACAAGATTGTAAAATTGGCAAGACAGAAAAGTCAAGTTACTTACAAAGAATATCCCATCAGGCTAACAGTGGACTTCTCGTCAGAAACCATGAGAGCAAGGAAAGAATGGGAAAATACATTCAAAGTGTTGAGTGAAAAACAATTTCAACCAAGAATTCTACACCCAAAAATTTTGATCATCCCTTTTATGGGAAGAAAAGATAAAAACATTCTCAGATAAACAAAGCCCAAAAGAATTTACCAACACCAGACCAGCTCTCCAAAAAGTTCTGAAGGGAGTACTATACCAGGAAAACTAAAGACATACACACAGAAAGAAGAGTTCAAAAAACAACCAAGAAAATAGCAAACTTAATGGTAGGGACAAGTCCAAAATTGAATGTTAACTTCCAGAATTTAAATGGAAAGATCAGACCACAACAGAAGAGAGATTAATTATATGAGACTGAACTGGTAAAATGGAATTTATGACTTTTGACTAAAATAATATGACTGATTCCCTCCTATGCTTTGTTTTCCAGATTTAAGGTTTTTTTTTTTTTTAAATCTTCTCTTGAGTTGTTGATAGGTTCATAACCCTAAACTTTTTCCTAGCTTTACGTCTTAAGCAAATTTCTCTTAACATTTTGTGATTTTAATTTATTAAAATTAAAACTGCTTTTCTTGAAATTACAAAATACATTTTAAGAAATACCTATTTAACGACCACAGTAAGCTCTATAGCCTCAGCTTGGTGCTACTTTATAGTATGCTCATTCTACTCACTGAGTTTTATGCCTAAAGTCAGACATGTGTTCATAGACATGTATATATCAGCCGAACTTGCTATTGAAAATATTTAATTAAGATTTGTTTGTACATCAATAAAATGGGGGGGGGGAGGCATGGAAAGCAACTGTAGATCGTATGGGAGGAGGGTGGGAAATGGCAGAGGATGAGACGTAGGGAATCAAGGGGTAAAAGTGCAAAATATATAACAAGAAAAGAAAAATTACTTGTTGATGATAACATGTATAATCAGTGTATTCTGGATGGGAAATCTCATTCTGTATGCTGTGATGATGTACAGTGAATGAATGTAAAATACATGAATTTAACTTTAAAAAATGTTTAAACTTTCCAGGAAAGTTAACTCTTATATTTTCATTTTTTAAATGTTTCTTTTCAGTTTGTATCATGATAACGCTGGAAGAGTTACTTTACTGATAAAAGATGTAAACAAGAAAGACGCTGGGTGGTACACTGTGTCTGCAGTTAATGAAGCTGGAGTGACCACATGCAACACAAGACTAGATGTTACACGTATGTCACACTATCAATCCAATCGTTAACAAAGGATTTAACCAAGAAGTCGTAATAAATATAAATCCTAGCATAGTATAAAATCTGAGGGACTTTCTCCAAAACAATCAATTTAGATTTTTTTTCTTTCCCTGTCTGCAACCAATTTGTTTAAAATAGGTTTCCTGAAATAACTTTTATTTTATCTATTTCAGCCCGTCCAAACCAAACTCTTCCAGCTCCTAAGCAGTTACGCGTTCGACCAACTTTCAGCAAATATTTAGCACTTAATGGGAAAGGTTTGGATGTGAAGCAAGCTTTTAACCCAGAAGGAGAATTTCAGCGTCTGGCAGCTCAATCTGGACTCTATGAAAGTGAAGAACTTTAATAACTATACCAGCATCAGAAAACATGACAACTACAATACTAGTAATATATTCTGTGATATTTTAAAATAAATCCATAGCTGTATTAACAGGTTATGGCTTTAATTAGATAATATAACTAACATATATTAGTTATCCTTTGAATCTTGCACATTCTACTTCTCTGATTTGTGAAGCCTACAAAAAAGCTGGATATATGGACTTATAGAAGAAAATCTTAAAATGTGAAATTTTAACATTTAAGTCATAGACATTTAACAATTATAGGTTACAGATTAATAGCAACATTTTAAATACATCTAATAATTATAATAAGGTTTACTGGTACTGCTTTCTAAATGCTTTACCTGCTTTCTCTTAAAGTAATACTAACATGGTATGTTAACTGAGTGTTTTATGTCAAAAGATAATAAAATTAAAATATTTAAAACAGATTTTCTCCTCATTACAAATAAAATGTCTTTTTTATATATATTGTACAACACTCAGCAAAATAAGTTCCAAAAGAGCAACAGTTACATTCTGGAACAGTGTTAACTTCACAGCTTGGATTCTTCCTTAACTGAACTAGACTTCCTATGTTTTCCACTTCAAAGGCAACTATAATAACTTAAATAACTAAATCTCTCCTGAATTTGTGATTTTGTTTTAACCAAATAGGTCCCTAGTTCTTCAAGATCTTTCCATCTATTGAGTAAATGGAGTAAGGCTAATCTAGTGAACATCTGTTTAACTCTTATATTCAATGTAATTTTTGAATATCTATACAATATTTGGATGTTTTCCCTTCCATAATTTCAAGCTCAGTTAACCTGTTATATTAGAAAGCATAATTTTGTGGGCATCTGAGAGTCCATATACAGAGAAACCCAAGTCCTTTTACTAAGATCTTCTAAAGGTAGGAGAGTAGCTCTTTTTTCTAGAAGGCCTTTAAGTCCATTGGCTGTAAGACCTTTGCTAGGCCTCTTCTGTTCCTTTTATCAACAGTCGTTTTTGACCTTTGTGAATGTGTCCTACTTTGGCTTTTCATCTGCACATAATATGGCATTGTATCAACATCACCACACATCTTTCAGGGAAATAAAAGTGGCTTTATCTTTTACTTACAAAACAACTTCGTGCATGCTGCCCTAGGGCCTTTGGACTGAATTCAATTTTTCCTTTTTATCAACAGGAGAATCTCTCTTTAAATCTTGGTGAACTTTTGGCTGCCATAATTGACAGCCACATTTGTGTAGCTTCTTCTATAACTGATTTACCTGCCAAAACTTCTAGACCACAGGCCCATCAGGGATCCCAAGAATTGTTTGGTCCACTGGTTTACATAATCATGGCCAAAGTTTAAGTTTTTGTTTTGTTTTATTTTGCCATATGGCACTCGGACTGCCAAAGACAAAAGAGACAATGGGAGGTAAAGTGAGAACTCGTCCCCCAGAGGGGATGGCCATGCTACAGTTCCTTCTCCTCCATTCTCTTCCTGAGATTTTGGGGTACAAGCACATACACATGCCCTGGGTGATTTTCAAGCCACCAGGTCTAGGACTAGAGCCATGGTCATCATTGCAGATATTTTAAAATCAATTTTAACACTGGAAAGGGGAGAGAAAGGAAGCTATTTCCAAAAACAACCTTTTGCTGATAATAACCAGATTTACCAGCAGCCAAAGTGTGGGGTCACGGTTAGGCTTTCAGGCTTTGGCTCCAAACAGACCTTGCCCCACTTCAGGGTTAATTAGTTCCTCAAAGCTTCCCTTTCTTAAGGCCTAAAGAGAGGACAAAAATACCTACTTGTCAGGAAAGTGGGCATACAGATGAAACAAGGCGATAAATGTTAATGTTATTTAAAAAAGAGAAGTCTGTTATAATTCTTTACTATGATCCAGGTTCGTCCTGGAAAGGCTCTCTGAAGAAGAACACCGCAGCAACCCAATCCCGTCTCACACGTAAAGCTTCCAGAAAGTGCTCATTGCGCAGGCGCGAGAGCTACTCGCCAAATCGAGAGGCGGTGACAGGGTTGCCCATGCGCAGGAGCCGGACAGAGGGAGCCACGTGACTATCCGCGCAGGCGCGGCAGACCCGCGGTGGCTAAACCGGCGGTGTAGTCCCACGTCCGCCATGGCTGAGGCATCCCGGTGGCACCAAGGCGGTGAGAGGTGTTTCTAGACAGTGAGTGGGACAGGGAGATGTGGCAATTCCACATACCCTGAATGGGGCTGTGTAGCCCCAAGTCTCTAGTCATATGAGAGCTAGCCCTCACAACCTTACCTGGAGCATCGGAAACGCGAAAGTAGAACCCCCAGAAAATATGGCACTGGCCCCTTGCCTGAGACTTGAACTGGGTGCTGTCACCTATTGTTCAGTGACTATCGCTAGGCCTACGTCCGAAGTCCTTTGGTGATCTAGGGAGTCATGGCCTTAACCGAACTCCAGCCCGAGCACTTTTTCCCTCTTCACCAAGAAGCCAGCCCACTCTAGAAGTGATATTTACAGGTCTAGAAAACCATTAGGGATAGATGGGGGGCGGGGGGGGAGGAGGGGGGGGAGAGTGTTAGTGTTTATTTAGCTTTTGTATTTTAAGACAAGACTGGTGAGGAAACATCTGTGCTATAAAACCTATTCATTTATGGTAGTAGTGGGTTATGCCCACTTATGCTGGTGGGAAAGTTTAGTAATTATCCCTGCCTTACAAAACAGAATTTAAAAATAACCAGATGCCATTGGAGCTTTCCTTGACAGTGTAAGGACCAGAAGTGGTTTTATTTTTCCATAGTTGTTACATACATTACAAATTATAATAATGTAAAGAAATTTTTTGTTTTATATCTCACAGGGGCTCCAAAATATAAGCCACATTACAGAAAGGAAGTAGAAATTAGAACCACACTTCAGGAGCTGTTACTCTACTTTATTTTTTTAATAAACCTATGTATATGTAAGTACACAGATATAGATAAGGATACTAATGGTTTGAACTAAGTGGTTGAAAAGTGGAGATTCAAAAAACATAGGCTGTCAGATTATTGAAATTTATTTTAAAAATAGTGACAGATTTTAGACATTCTCTTACACTTTTAAGTTCATTTGTATATACACTATTTCCAATTGGCAAAATTTTAGGTCACAGATATAATGAGAAACTTAAATGATCAACATTGATTGGATATAATTATACCTCTCCTTTGACAATTCTATCTTGATATAATTAATCCCTTGGATTGACAATTATAATTTGATCTCTTTTAGAGACATACAGATCTATAAAAGTGCAAATAAGGCCAAAGATAGAAGTTTGTCTTGGTATTTGCCATTAGCTTTGTTCTTTTTTTATTGCCAGAGGGTGTGCTGGCCAGAGACAGAGGCAGGAAGTACCCTTTCAGTGGGGTATGGTAGGGCTACAATCCCTTCTCCATTTCTCTCAGGATTTGGGACACACATGCACATGTGTCTGGCATGTTTTTTAAGCCACCAAGGTCATGACCTGTTGTACAGTAAGTAGTACAATATGCTTGTGCTGAATCCATATAATCCATAAGGAGAACTGAAAAAACACCTCAATCTACATTCCTATATATAGTTCAATAGAATTGACTTGATATCTGAAGGGCAATATTAAAAGAATATTTTACCTTGGGACCAGCAGTTGGCATAATAGCTATGTCGCTGGACTCCCACGTAGCTGACTGCAGTTCAAGTCCCGGACCCAGTGGCTTAAACTCACGCTGGGCGCATGTGCATGTGTGCCCAAGATCCTGCGATGAGAATGAAGGAGAAGGGATTGTGCCATGACCATCTCCCCTGGGGGGTGATTTCTCACTTTCTGTCTCTCTGTCTCTCTCTCTTTCTGGTGAGCACACACACTCTATAGCAAAAACCTCTCAAAAATAAAAGAATATTTTATCTTTAGAGTGTCCAACATATATTAGATGTAAGCTTCTGGCCAGGATTATCTTATGTTGGTATGTGCTACACACTAGCAGCTGTATACCTCTTACCTAATTAATTGGTGTTCTGGGATGAGTTTGAATCAGATCTTAATTAAAAAGACAACTACAACCAAATATAAATTATGGTATCTTAGACCAATGATAAACTTCCATGGTCAACATTTGTAAAATGTTATAAAAATAATACATACTTGGGACCAGCAGATGATGTAATGGTTATGTTGCTGGACTCCCACAAAGTCAACTGTGATTAAAGTACTGGCCCTGGCAGCTTAAAACTCACTCCGGGTGCATGTGTGCCCAAGATCCTGAGAGAAGAGTGGAGGAGAAGGGGTTGTGGTTTGGCCATCTACCCTGGCGGGAGTGACTTCTTGCTTTCTGTCTCTCTGTCTCTATCTCTTTGGTGAGCATATGTGTCCTATAGCAAAAAATCTCTCTTGAAAAGAAAAAATAAATGCTCAGAACAGTTAAGAAAATACAAGTGAAAAGGTTATAATTCCATTCAGATTTTTAAAGAAAAATAACCTCAAATCCATCCCATCAAGAAGGGGATTTGTTGAACACTACAGTATATATACAGTGAAATAAAGTAAAGAATGTCATGGGAGAGCGGGGAGGATGGCAGGTGCTGTAGTGGTTAAGTGTGCTGGACTCTCACATAGCCAACTGTGGTTTGAATCCTCAACCTGGTGACTTGTTTTCTCAACCCCCCTCCCAACTCTGTCCCTGTCTGCTCAAATTAAAATAAATAAATAAAGCTAAATAAAATTATTCTTTTTTTTTTTTTTTGGAGAGGTTTTTGTTATAGGGTGCGTGTGCTCACCAGAAAGACAGAGAGAGACAGAGAGATAGAAAGCGAGAAATCACACCCTAGGGGAGATGGCCATGCCGCAATCCCTTCTCCTCCATTCTCCTCTCGGGATCTTGGGCACGCACGCACACGCGCCCAGCATGAGTTTAAGCCAC